AATTGGGTCTCGCCTCTTGGCCGCGGGAACGGAGAGCGTGATAGCAGGGGGTATGTCAATGTGTCTGTTGATAGAATTGGTGTCAGACACTAATTGCATAATTCGTGAGATGGCATGAGGAGTTTAAGTACAGGCAAGTCCCCAAGAACAGCTGAAATTGTTTGCTCTATAACGATTTGGTGCAAGGGCCCAAGCACAGGCGGCGGTAGCAAGCAAACCTATGAAATGGCGACTCACCGCCGCCATACCACAATTCTAGAATGGCACTCCGCGCATCAGACTTCCGCGTCCTGGCAGCGCTGTCGCTGTTGGTCCGCGACTGCTTGCTCGCCAGACCTGAAAGTCTGCTTATTTCGCAGCCAGTCTTTGCCGAAGGCCATTGCACAGTCTGCCATCCGTGAACGCAGCGGGTAACCAGCAGCCAGATTAACGGGCAATCCGTCTCAATGAATACGGCTCAAACGGAAATAATAGAAGATTATGCAATCTTCCGATGAGCGTTTTGTCGTGAGTGGGGGGGGGGAAAGGACTGAATGAGCGGCGGTGCGGAAAGAGATGTGTCCGTATGGACTCCCTAGAGCAGTAGATTACGTGAGTAACACGGTCTCGACTAGCAGGCACTAGGAAGATTTACCGCAATGGGCACTGTTTCCTCAGATTGGATCTGTATAACCAATATATATGCAAACAATCCACCACGCGGGTACAACGAACTGGACGTCTTACGTCATCCATAAGTGGGATTCGAACGACTGAATTTCCCGCGCGCGGCAGTCAAGGCTACTCTTTTTGTGAATCTTATGCAAGGCATACGTGCACGTCCAGCTTTGTCGGTATTTCATCCAGTTTCAAGTGGTCTTAACACAACTGCCTGCTAGGGCTCTAGCGTAAGCTCCAAAGCGCCAGGGGGCGAGGCGAGCACTTCCTGTAACCTGATCGATGAAGGCGCTTTCAAAGATCGGTAATATTCCCGATCAAAACCAACAACGGGTCCGCGACTCAATGGCAAACCGCTCAATGACCAAAGAGTCTGGGTTTGAGTCCCAAGTTATCCCAACCTGAGGCTGACAACAGCCAATATGCCCTTGTGGGTACTCCTTTCGATGCATATATAACGCTATCCATGCGAATGTTAACGACGGCCCTAGATTGAGCCCCAAAGCACAACGGGGCGAGCATTTGCCGTCACCTGGTCAGTGAATGACCTCCGGACGACGGCATATGCTTTTGATTACTTTGAACGGACTGCAGTTTGACGGGGATGCTGGTGGGCATTACTATTTTGCTTTGAAAGGAACCTGTCGCCCTCTGGTCGGTATGGCGACGACTTGCTACGAAGTGGTTCACAGCGGTGTTTTGTGTTGGTTTGCTTGAGAGTATTTGCGTTGATGCCGATTCTGGATGATATATTGGACGCCTCTAGGCACCGTGGCATACTGGACCAGTTTGTCGACCGCACTGGCCCTCGGTAATGCAAATCGAACCGTATGAAATGCAGCACTTCGGACGACCAAGGTTTCAGTTGAGCCGCCAT